GAACTGTTTCTCAACCCTTTTATTTTTTTTAGACAGTGGCGCTAAGTCGTCTATAATGAGCTTGAATATGTAGGAGTCCAGCCTCAGTATCCCCAGGTCCTGAGATTACAGTTGTGTGCCACTGTGCCTGGCTACTTTTCTTATTGCCTGTCTTGTTCTGAGTTATATGAAGATGTTCGCTCGTCACTTAGCTCACTGTGAAAACGCTTCATGTGTAATAGCATGATTGCACATGAGAAGCAGTTTCTGCCAGTTTCTCCTGTTAGAGAAGCAGCTTTTATTTATGTTGGTATTGGGAATCACAGGTACTGGGAATCACGCTTGGGACCTTGTGCTCACCGGGCAGGCACTTTGCCACTGACCTATATCCCTGGCTCAAAGTGGTGGCTTTCATCCAAGAAAGTACATCAGAGCTGCCCTGGAGCTTGTGCAGATGCCATGCTATGCCACAGCCTTTGTTTGCAGTTGTAAAAAAACCTAAAATGACCGGATTTTTATTGCCAACTAAATGATTAAAATGTGTTTGTTCTTACAACACTAAAATGTGTTTGTTCTTACAATGTGCAGTGTATTCCATACAATAGAATATTACAGTAATGGTTAAGGATGAAAATTTTAGCCAGGCGTGGTGGCAAACACCTGAATCCTAACATGTGGGAGGCTGAGGCAGGAGGATTGCTGGGAGTTTGAGGCCAGCCTGGGCTACATACCAAGACTATCTCAAAAAAATTTTAGCCAGAGATGATAATAACATGCCTTTAACCCCAGTAGTGTGGGAGTCTGAGGCAGGAAGATTACAAATTCAAGCCCACCCTGAACAGTTCATTCAGGAACCTGCCTCAATTTTTTTGTTGTAGTTGTTCATTTATCATTCGTTTTTGTTTATTTGAGACAGGGTCTCCCTGTGTAATTAGGCTGGCTTTAAACTCACTATATAGCCAGAGCTGTCCTGCAACTCCTCAGTGCTCCTGTATGGAGTGTCTGGGTCCAACCTCAGTGCCCCTGCCCCTGTCTTTCATGGAGCAGTGCAGAGATACACTTCTGCAGGAGAAGCATGACGTCTGTTTTCGTGTGCACATGTCTGCAGAAATTGAAGAGGAAAATCATGTGTTTATGAGTTTGGGCTAAGGACACCAGGTGTTTTTGTAATTAAATGTGAATATATATTATTAAAACTAGAGGGAAAACCCCCAAAATAACTTTTTAAAACCATACGTTTGATTTATTGGATTAGCAGTGGGATCTGGCTGCCTGTCTTCTCAAACCGTGTAGGTGACTATGATTCTCACACAGGTAGCAGGGGAAGCTCCTGACTCCCGGTTTATATTAACTATTGAGTATTTGAATCACTAGGAAATTGACCAGTGCCAGCCTGGCCTTGGCTACAAGGTAAGACCTTGCTCCGAAAGAAGAAAGATGGACCTTGGTTTTTAGTAGCACAGATTATTGTATCAGTGTCATTGCTACTGTATAATGATAATATTTATCATGAAAATAAACTTTTTGGTGTTTACAGACGGAAGCACGGTTTGGTTTGGTAACTTTTCTTGCTTTTGCCATACTAAGCCCTGGACCCAGGGCCTCCACACTGAGCTACATCCCCGGCTGCTTTTTTAATCTTGAGACAAGTTCTTGGTAGCTTGCTAAAATGCGTAGGCTGGCCTCTAATGTGCCTCCTTTCGCCTCAGCCTCCCAGAGTGCTGGCATCGGAGTCTTGAACTCCTGGGTTCAGGATAGCTTGCTGCCTCAGTTTCCCACATGCTGAGACCCCTGAGTTGCCCTCCCCTGCCCTGGCCGAAAGCCCTGTCTTGCAGGAGGTCTGCTGTGGGGCCATGGCTGCAGAACCTGACTTTCCAGCCTGCAAAGGAAGTGATCTAGAGACTGTCCTGAGGTTTCTCCAGAGGCTTCTCTGTCCCTTTTCCCACCTTCATAGTACAGGGGGAAGCTTGAGAAAGAACAGAGTGGCACGGGGCAGAAGCCTGGTTCTTTCTGTGGTCTTCCGCCTCCCGAGCGCAGGGTGAAGGTGTGTACAGGACATCGTGAGATGCCCTTTCTTTAAAGAGCTCAGAGTTGGTGATTCTCGCTTCCAGCGCCTCACGCGTGCCATCTGCAGTGGACTGCTCCCAGGCCCCTCACTTTCTTACAGAGACACAGTGCTCTCCAGGTTCCGCAGCCTGAGTAGCCTTGAACTTGCATCTACCTCCTGCCTTAGCCTCCTGAGTAGCTGGCACTACAGGCTTTGGCCGCCATGCCTGACTGACTTGCTAAATTTTTAACTTTGAGAATTCTGCATCATCTAATACTTGTAATAAAAACCCTAGGGTAGAATGTTAGAAAAATCAGATCAAGGCTTTCTTACCATCTGCTGATGTAAAATGAACAAGGAATACAGACCAATGAACACTCACTGGGCTTCTAACAGCCTTCCCTCCCAAGGTGGTTTCTGAACCACTGAGAGGCTCCAGGTCTGGGGCCTCCCTGCCGCCCGCCTCCCCTCGTGGTTTCTGCCCAGGGCGGCAGCCAGCCAGCCGGCCTCTGGCTCCCCTCACTGACCTGCTAGGCAGTCACTTGTGTACCCTTGGTGACTGTTAAACCTGTTCTGCTTGTAAGGCAGAAGCACAGACAGCTTATCTTGAAAGGTGGTGGTTTTAAGAATCACAAGAAATAAACTGATAGGATTTGGTAAACTACAGTATAGTACTTAGTACAAAATAGTGTTTTTCTAGGAACTGTAAAATGTAGGAACTGTAACTATTTAGGTAAAAATTATAGCAGCGTACGTATGTATTCATTTCACTGTCACTAGACCTCGTGGCCTGTTAGAGCTTCCAGTGATGCAGAGGGCCCCTGGAGCTCCTGCGCCACAGCTTCACCATCACTGGCATTTACTGAGTGACACTGAAGGTCCTGTAAGGGTATGCGCTGCATTGGGCATAATGATGTGGGCCTGTAATCCCAGGATGTGGGAGGCTGAGGCAGGAAAAATTCGAGTCAGCGCTAGTGGTGACTAAATAATGGGACTGAGAAAATAACAGAAAAGTTATGTCCTGTAGAGCCAGGCTCAAGGTTAACACAGCCTCCCCAGGGAACCAGTAATTCCAGCTCTTGGCAGTGTGAATAGGTAAGGGGTGGGACTGAACAGAGGAAACACCACCGACTGACTGGTAGAGTATGTTAATGGGCTTGAACCCCGGACCTTCCCTCTGTGCCACATCCCTAGTGCTGTCTGAGAGAATCTCACTAAGTGCTCAGGCTGGACCCAAACTTCAAGTCCTCTTTAGCTCTCAGGGTTCTGGGACCTGTTAGGTGCACGTCGATGGCTGGCTTGTTTTTCTTAAGTTTTCTCTCTCCCTTTCAGTCCCAGTCTCCTAGCAACCTTCTCCCCCTTTCTTTTGGGATGGGGAGAGTTACACTTACCCTGAGACTCCCTCTCCAGAGACGCTGAGAGTCCCAGTTTGGCCCACACTGCTGTTCTCCCAGCTCCTGCCGCACAGTAACTGCCCCTTTAGGGGATCTGCCCCTCTCCCTTTGCAGTTTTGTCAGCTTTTGCTTTCTTGGTATCTTAGAGCGCCATCTACTGGCACACAGTGATGACTGGAAGGCTCTGGGCTGGCTACCAGCCTGAAGATAGGCCACCAGCTGTCTAGGTTTTTTGTGGAAGCGCAGCACTGGGGCTTGGACCCAAGGCTGAGGCACAGCTCTACATCCCCAGCTTGGCTTTTATTTTGAGATGGGGTCTCACCAAGTTGCCCAGGCAAGCATGAACTTGCAGTCCTCCTGCCTCAGCCTCCCAGGATGCTGACCTTACAGTGCAATACCATCCCCAGCAGGACTAAAGTAGAGACGAGGTCTTGCTCAGAGCTGTAGATCTTCCTGTCTTAGCCTCCCAAGTGCTGGCATCCCAGATATGTGCCACACTGAACTTAAAGCCCTCCTGCCTGTAGTCTCAGCTAATCTGCTAGGCTAGGAAGGTTACAAGTTCATGCCCATTCTAGGCAACATAGTCCCTGTCTCAAAATAAAAAGGGCCAGAGATGTAGTGCCCCTAAATTCAATCCTTCCTGCCACAAAAGTAAGTATACAAGATCCTGTTTGTGAAAGCTGTTTCTGTCCAGATCACTGCTGTGCTCCAGTTTAAAAGACTACCACAGTCATTCTGGCGTTTTTGTGAGTGTTCCTCAGCCTTAGAAGTAAATTATGAAATAAATATAATTTTTAATTGTGAGCTTACATAATGTAAAAAACTTGGAGTCCTTAAGTTTTTTCCTAGTGTTCAGGAAGGACTAAAGAAAAGAACTTTTCAGGAGTGTTTCAGCAGCACAGGAAAATGCGTCATATCACAGGTGGGATATATGACGGGACAAATCACCCATGTGAGGTGGCGCACTCCTGTCATCCCAGCACTGAGAGGCTGAGGCAGAAAGGTGGCAGGTTGGAGGCTGGCCTAGGCAATTTCATGAGTTAATGAGACCCTGCCTCAAAGAGGGCTGGGCCTGTAGTTCAGTGCAAGGGCCCTGGGTTCGACCTCCGTTTCTCACAGTGAAATCCAGATCCGGCACTGTAAGGAAGGCAGCACATCAGAGGACGGCGGGAGTGGGCCTCAGCACTGCGTGTGGCCTGACACGTGTCTGTGGCTCTTAGGTTGTGCACTGGAGACGAGGTTCCTTGTGTACCCCACGCTGCTGGCCTTGACCTCAAGGTCCTCCTGCTGAGTGCTGGGGTTGTAGGCGTGTGCCCTTGTGCCCCACTGCAGCATAGTGCAGTGTTCCAGGAGCCACAGTCGGTGGCTGGGGCTGTTGGGGCTCTCCTGGACCCTGAGGGACTGGGACAGAGCCTGAGCCACCCCGCTGTGTCAGTAATCTGCAGTCCCAGTGCTTCCGGGAGTGGCATGCAGCTCAGCATCCCCTGTGGCGCAGCATCCCCTGTGGCACCTCTGGTTCTGCCACCACCCACTCACTCAGCCAGGGCATCCTGACGCCTTTTCTCTCCTGTCTCCCGCAGCAGCGTCACCTTCACACCAGAAAGCTGGCGGGCACCATGGGCAAGAAACAGAACAAGAAGAAGGTGGAGGAGGTGCTGGAGGAGGAGGAGGAGGAGTACGTGGTGGAGAAGGTGCTGGACCGCCGCGTGGTGAAGGGCAAGGTGGAGTACCTGCTCAAGTGGAAGGGCTTCTCCGAGTAAGTGCACCTGCTCACACACGCACACACATATGCACGCACCACCTCTGCCCACCGAGAGGACGCGTGACCCCTGTGTCTTCTGCTTGCAGTGAGGACAACACGTGGGAGCCCGAGGAGAACCTGGACTGCCCCGACCTCATCGCCGAGTTTCTGCAGTCACAGAAGACGGCACACGAGACAGACAAGTCAGAGGGAGGCAAGCGCAAGGCGGACTCAGACTCGGAGGACAAGGGGGAGGAGAGCAGACCCAAGAAGAAGAAAGAGGAGGTGAGGCCACCGGGCCAGCTCTGCGCAAGCCTGTGGCCTGTGTAGGGGACAGACGAAAAGCAAGCAGAAGGCCCCTGGAGGGGCGGCTGCTTCCAACTCGGAGCCCTCGGGTGACCTCCTGAGGGTGAAGGGAGAGTGGGGCACGGTCCGGTGCACACAGGAGGACACGGAAGCTCTGCGGGGCTGCCCAGCCTGTGCTGGGGAAGCAACTTGGCAGAAGAGTTCTGATTGCGAGAATCAAGGCCAGGGTACCCCGTCCCGGGTCGCAGGCCCATCGAGGTAAAACTCCTCTCTCTGGTTTTCACAGTCGGAGAAGCCACGAGGCTTTGCCCGGGGTTTGGAGCCAGAGCGAATTATTGGCGCCACGGACTCCAGTGGAGAGCTGATGTTCCTCATGAAATGGTGAGTCTGCGGCTGCTGCTTCTACTCCTCTGTTCCAGGCAGAGGAGGAGCTGGACCTTCCGCATGCCATGTGCCCAGTGTGAAAGCTCTAGGATGGCAGAGTCCTTTGCTAGTGACCCTTGGCCTGGCTGCCAGCCTGGACTCATGAGTTACAGGTAGGGACCCTCAGGCTTGGGAGAGCTAGAGCTTTGCCCTTTTGTTTCTTGGGGGGCTTTTTGGTTTTGTTTGAGGTGGGGGAAGATCTATAGAGTGGAGAGGCTTTGAAATGCAGTCATATTTCAGTTTCCTAAGTGAAGGACATGTGGAATGGAACTCCATGCCTCTCCTCTCCCTCCACCTCCGGGTCCAGCTCCAGCTGGCCCAGCATCAGAAATCCTGTGAGAGGGGCTGGGGATTTAGCTCAGCGGCATAAGCACCTGCCTTGCAAGCAGGCAGTCGTGAGTTCGATTCCTGGTACCGATAAAAAGGAAAAAGACAAAAAACAAACAAAAAAAAAAAAAAAAAAAGAAAGAAATCCTGTGAGAGTTTCCTCAGGACAGTTGGCATTCTGCAGTTTCAGAGCCAGCCAGCAGGGGTCAGCAGGGCCCTTTTCCCAGGAACCTGCGGGTGTTAATGCAGCCCAGGCAAGCGTCGCCTCAGGACAGGGCAGTCCCTGCGAATGTGTCATTGGCCAGGCATGGTGGCTCTCCCCTGTAGTCCCAGCACTCAGAAGGCTGAGTCAGGAGAGTTGACTTGAGTTGAAGGTCAGCCTGAGCTGAGTGGCAGGACTCTGGCCTCAAAAAAAAAAAAAAGGTTAAGCAGGCAGCTCCTCCTGTGGACAGTGTGGTCACCTTGGTCTGAGTGGGAAGGGCGCAGCCATGTACTGTCAGGGACCACATGGTGGACAGACAGGAGGCCCGAACACGGCAGCGTCAGCACACAGCCCTGAGCAGTGCTGTAGCACTGGGTCACTGGGTAGTGGGAAATTTAAGTTCTGTTACAGTTTTATGGCGCCACCAGCATACACACACCCAGCACTGTGCAACACAGCCCCTCTACCCTCCCCACACACTCACTTTTCTGGACATACTGTGTCACAGGCCACTGGGCTGGGCACTGGCCCACCGTTCTTCCTGCTTCAGCTTCCTTAAGTGCTGGGGTTACCGCCACATGCCCCACCAGCCCCGTGTTCTGCAGCTGGCCCTCTTAGCTGATATGTGGCCAGCCTGTATTTGAGCAAAGCTCCCACACCAGGGGCTGCACGTGGCAGAAAGATTGGAAGGTTTATAATTCATGAGGCGGGTTGTGCTCTTCTCTGCCTCATCTCAGTCGTGCTGTTAGTTCTATGTTGCTTAAGATTTTGTCCCTTTGGTGTGTGCAGTGAAGGTTAGATGTCACCTGGCTGTGGTGGCGCACACCTGTAATCCCAGGACTGGGAAGGCTGAAGCAGGAGGACCACCACTGAGTTCAAGGCCAGCCTGGGCCACACAGCGAGACCCCATCTCAGAAGACCAAAAAGAGATGTCAGTTATAGAACCAGTTTACTTTTCAGAGTGACTCTGCCAGGCATGGGTGCACAGCCTTAGTCTCAGCTTTCTAGGAGGCTGAAGCAGGATGATTGTAAGTTTGAACCCAGCTCGGTGACTTGGTGATAGAGGCAGAGCTTCAAGGTAAAACCAGAGTGGGCCTGAGCTCCGAGGCCTACGCACCTGCCTGCCTGCCTGCCAGGTGTGGGGTCCTGAGTTCACCCCCAGGAACAGAACAGAACAAGATGAGAGCCGAGGGCTAGGTGTGTGGCTTCCAGTGCACTCCAGGCCCTGGAGCACCAGAGCACCCACAAAGCCAATGTTAGGGTGATTCTTCCTGGAGCAGGATGTACTTGTCCACTTCTGGAAGTAGTAAGTGTTTATATACAACACAGGGACTTAAACCCTGCCTAGCATTCCCTGGGAGCGGCCAAGGGCGGGTGAGCATACCCAGCCACCCCACCCATCCCACCCAGTGGCTCCTGGCTTCAAGTCCCTGGGTCGCTGTCATCTGTGTCTTGCCTCATCTTGCTCCCAGTGATCTGGAAGTACCCTGCACCGGCCTCCTTGCCCTAGTTCTGCTGCTCCACAGGCTCTGGGTTTCTGTTGGGGTCCCGGTGTGCAGGCGTTGCCTGTGGGGACCCTGTGGTGTACCTTCCCTGCCTGCTCCTTCTGCCTGGCAGGCCCAGGGACCTGGAGAGCTGTGATCTGTGCACCATGCCTAGTTTTGAGAGCATTTTACAAGGGACAGGCTGGCCCTGGGCCCAGGCTGTCATGCCCACTGCCTGTGGGGCGGAGCCGGACACTGGGTCTCCAGCTCTTCTGCTTGGCCACTGTCTCGGAGTTCAGGGTCCCAGAGGCAGCTGCCTGCTTTTGACAAAGATCTGGGAGGCCCGAGTTCAAGGCTGGCCTGGGCTGAAGCAGGACCCGTTTCCCAAAAAGTAGCCGAGTCCCATCCTCAAGTGGGTTGCAGTGGGGCAAGGTCTCCCGGGGCGCCGAGACACCTCTCACCCACCTGAGCCCCAGGGCTCCTGACTCAGAGGCCTGTGCTCCATCCGCAGGAAGAACTCCGACGAGGCTGACCTGGTCCCCGCCAAGGAGGCCAATGTCAAGTGCCCACAGGTGGTCATCTCCTTCTACGAGGAGCGGCTGACGTGGCACTCCTACCCCTCGGAGGACGACGACAAGAAGGATGACAAGAACTAAGTCCAAGGGCAACCCTGAGGCCCCCGAGTCTGCAGGGAGGGAGGTGTCCTGCTGGTCCTGGTGCCACAGCGGCTCAGGAAGATGTCCTTTGAAGAGCCAGTATCCTGTCCACGCCCTGCACTGCCCAGGGTTGGCCAGCCACTCCCGCTATGCAGCCGAGGAGGACGGACCTGGTGGGCCAGGGCGGGGCAGGCCGAAAGGTACTGTTGTCTTCAAAGAGCATCTCCGCAGCCGGCCCTCCTCCTCCCATAGCTCTGACTTGGAGCGTTTCTGCGGTGTAGCATGTGTGTAGTTTTCGGCTATTCCCAGGGTGTGGGGTGGGGCGGGGGGGACGGGCAGGGTCACCTGAGGAAGCTGGGTCCTTGCTAGGGACCTGATGAAACAAGGCCTGGACAGAACAGCTGACCAGATGGTTCTGTGTTCAGAGTATTTTGCCTTCCGGAAACGTCATCGGCACCTAGACAGGACTGAGAGACTGGTGTAGAAGCTGTGAATGCCCGAGCCCAGGCCAAGGGCCCCTGGAGCTGCACTCAGCCCCCAGGATCTCAAGGCCCCAAGTTACCAAAGCAGCCGTTATAGAGCTGGGGACACCGAGGCAGGCCTTCGCCCGGCAGTGCTGGTGCTGAGCCTTGAGGCGAGGCCCGTCCTTTCCCCACTGTCCATCCACGCAAGGCCACGTGGGGGTGTGGGTCCAGATGGTGGGCGCTTGGGGCCTTGGGATTCTGAGCTTTGAATTGTGAAGCCCTGAGTGACAGAGTCGGGGCACGGACAGCACAGTGTCATTGCGTGTCTCAGTAGCCGTGGTCTCCGGAGAGCAGCTTTTACATGGGAGCAGTGGGTCACCCCAAAACACAAAGCCGGTTCTGAAAGGAAGAAGATCTTAGGAGTAAACGCCAACGTCCCAAACCTCTGCCTCAGACTTCGAGGTCCAGCAGCTCCCTGGTGGCCCCAAGCTGCGCCCAGGTTGGGCCATGGCGGAGCTGTGGGGTTCTCTAACCGTAAACTCTACACTGTCGGGTTTTGTCGTAATAAAGGTATAGATTTATAATCCCTGATTCGTGTCCTGCTTAAGTCTCGCCAGAGCTCCTTTATGGCTGCCGTGTAGACGGAGCCATGGGAAATTACTCGTGGTGGCCGTGTGTGCAGGGTACCGGCCCAGGTCCCACTCACTGGGCCACTGGACCCCGTGCTTCAGACCAGGGGCTCATGGAGTCTCAGTCCTCCTGCCTCAGCCTCGGGGCAACTGGGTCACAGGCTACACCCAGCCCCAGCCCCGATATGATACTGGTTTAGTCCGCCCGCACTCTTGGGCACGTGAAGGTTGTCGGCTGTCAGCGCTGCTGTGGGTCAGTAAGCACCTCTGTTTAGACGTACAGGTTTCTGAGGTGGGGGCGCCCTGGCTAAAATCACCTCTGCTTTTCAGGAATCGAACTGCTATCACTGAATTAAAACATTGGGTTTTTCTTTTCCAGATTTTGAGCCTGGGTCCTGCCGTGTAATCCCGGGCGGCCTTAACTGCAGGGATCCGAGTGCTGGGGCCACAGGGGTTTCTTAACCTGATCAACTGCCTGTGATTTCACAGCCAAGTGGGATGAGGTTTTTGTCACTTGTGAGGGAAGAGCTTGGGGTCAGGCAGGGTGCAAACCCAGTTCTTCCCTGACTCCCGTTGCTGCACACTGTGTAGCCCAGACTGGCCGTGGGGAACCTGTTGGTGCACCTACCAGAGGGCAAAAGGACCAGAAGCCAGGACCTGACCACCTCCTGCAGGGGCTCCAGGGTGAACCCAGTAGTGCGGTTGGGTTTGGTGAGGACATCTCTGCCCACTGGACCAGCAGAGGCAGAGGGATGCCCCAAGAGCTGCGCTGTGGAGCCACAGGTCCATGGTCCCCAAGGCACCAGGGCTCTCTGCATATGGGCACCTCCAGATGTGCGCTGCAATGTGTTCATCCGTTTTGGTTCATATTAAACAGCCTGTGTTGAGACAGTGGTGGGCTGGGGACTTAGCTCGGTGGCACAAGCGCCTGCCTGGCAAGTGCAAGGTTGTGAGTTCGATCCCCGGGACCAAAATGATGGCACCAAAGCTGCTGCTCACCCCAGTGGATCCTTAGGTCCTGGCTGGCCTTCATCAAGCCGGAGGCCCTGTCCACTGTGCTCATGGCCTGAGGTTAGGCTGGGTCGCTTTGCATGCTTGCCCTTTACGGATACTTAAGCCCCTGACAAGTGAAGATCAAGTCAAGTGTGTTAATCAAACTTGTGTTTAAAAGAAAAATGGCCAGGCACAGCAGCTCCCTCCTATTACATGCACTCACGGGGGCTGAGGCAGGAGGATTGCTGGGAGTTTGAGTCTAGCCAGACTAACATAGTGAGTTGAAGGGATATAGCAGGACCCAGTCTCCAAAAAATGAAACAAGGGAAGGCGGACTCCCTCCCCAGCCAACAGGAGGCGGGGGGTGGGGGGTAGTTCTGGGCTCACAAGCACGCGAGGATGGTTCAGCCTCTGGCTACTGCAAACTAGCTAGCGAAGCAGTGGCATCAACAGCTTTTTGGGTTCTGTGCACCTGAAAAGGGACCGAAGGCTTCTGTCCTCTGTAACGCACCCCTCTACCCAGTCCTCAGAGCCGGCTGTGCCCAGCCCAACCAGTACAAAGCAGGCCTTAGCCAAACTGCCCCTGCACCCACCCTGCCTGGCTCTGCCCCACATAGTTCAGCACTGGGGGAAGCGGCTGCCGCTTGCGTGCTACAGGTGAGAGCAGTGGGACTGGGGACCCTGAGAAAGGCTCAGTGACAAGAGAACAGGACGGGAGCCGCACTGCAGGCTAACAGCCCAGGTGGGCCGTTTGGGTGCAGTCAGGATCGATTTGGGCACAGATTTGTGTTGTGCCCACAGCATCGTGGGTCGAGCTTTGACTGTTCCCCAAGGTCCTGCCTCCGGCTTTTTTGGGATTGTTGGATTTGGCTTTTGAGACTGGGTCTGAGGGTGTGCCTGGACGGCCCTGAACCTGTGATTCCAGCCTTACTGCTGGCACCCCAGGAGCCAGCAGTTCCCCCATACCTGCTGTACTGGAAACTGAGCCCAAGCCTTGGCTATCATTTCAGAGCTGGGGCTTGAGCCTTCGATCCTCCTGCCTCAGCCTTCGAGTGCTGGGCTCACATGTGTGTGCCAGGTTTGCAGGTATGTGCCAGCCCACCCGACTGAGGAGACGCCTGCAGCATGGGGTGAGGACCCAATTCTCGGCAAGGTACTCCCCCACCTGCGGGCCGCAACAGGGAGGCTCGGGTCCAAATCGGACACCAGTCTGACCTCGGCTTCATCGGATGAGTGTTTTCAGCCACAGCCTCACAGGGGAGCCCTAGGAGGGGTCTACCTCCTCCTCCTCCCCTTTACACAACAGGGCTTCTGGTCACCCCAGCAGTTCACCTCACTCCCACTGGGAGGAGGGTTAATGGGTGGCCCTTGCCTGGGCCTGAACCCTCAGATGGCTTTCCAGCCAGAAAATGGCCCCAGCAGTGCCACCAACTTGGGAGGCTTGAGGGACAAGGATCCCCCAAGAGTCTGGGCTACACAGACAATGTCGCAAAAAACAGTAACAAAACCCAGCATGAATTCATGTTTTTCCAACTTACTTTTGGCCTCTTTTTCAACAATGTTTTTGTTTTGTTTTGTTTTTTTCGTTTTTATCGGTACCAGGGATCGAACTCATGACTGCCTGCTTGCAAGGCAGGTGCTTATGCCACTAAGCTAAATCCCCAGCCCCGACAATGTTAGTTTTAAATCAGGCCTATAATCCATGAGTTCAAAGGCCAGTCTGGACAACTTAGCAAGACCTTGCCTAAAAATGTAACAAAACGTAAAAGGTTTAGGGATATAGCTCAGCAAAGCCCTTGGCCAGGCACACAAGGGCCCTGGGTTCAATCCTCCTTCCTGCACCCCCACCATCCAGACTGGACCAACCCCAACAGGAAAGCGCCTTTGGAAACCCACCCAGCCAGAGGTGAGTTCACACCAGAGATTAGCTTAAACTCACACACTCAACTCCACCTTAGGGGACCTCTAGGGGCACCGAAGGATGCTGCCCTGGTAGGTGGCACAGGGTACTTGTGCACCCAAGGCCATAGTAAAGTCACAGAAGACACCAGGTAAAGGCCAGACATCCACCTGGGGATGCGCATGGACCACAGCCCACGCCCAGGGGAAGCCCCGTAGCACCAGCTCCTTGTAGCTGGGGTCACAGCAGGCAGCTGGTGCGGGTGGCACCTCACTAAGCAGAAGTTGCCCAGGCTGGGCTGGAACTTGTGCCCTTCTTGCCTCAGTCTCCCAGTGCAGCCCTGCTCTCAGGGCCTGGTGTCCAAGGGAGAGTAACTCGGCCAGGGGGTCACTTCCAGCCCTGCACCAAGGCCTGTCCTGGGCCAGGCTCTTGGCAGCAGGCAGCGCGTGGCTTGCAACACCCTGGCACGGGGAAGACCCCCAGGGGCTGTGCCTCCGAAGGCCCTGGGCTGCACCTCAGGCTCAGGTACCCCCGCGTCCACGCTCCCCACCACTTCCTTCCTCAACCGGAATTCCAGGTAGGGAGAAACTGCACTGGAGAATGAATCACCGTTTTATTTTATTTTATTTTGTCATGTGCTCACAGCATCTCTTTCTCTCCTCTCCCTGGCAGGTCAGAGATAAATTAAAAATAAAATCTACGAGGAAAATAATTTATAAAAAGCACTCCCAGGCTCCACGCCCTGTCCCTCCTAGGGGAGGGTCAGCGCGCCCCAACCCTCCCAGGGCCTGGCATAAGGGGCAGGACGGCCACCAGTCACCAACACAGCCTGGCAGGGACACCGAGACCCCGCAGTCCTGGAGCGGCCCTCTCGGAAGCCAGGTGCAAGGCCTGGGGAGGGTGCATTCAGCCCGCGCCGGCGCTTGCCCTCTAGAAGAGCCCCAGGTGGCCGCCACCTCGGCACGCAGGGTCCAAGTCTATGGCAAAAGAGAACGATTAGCAGCTTTGAGGACCAGGCCAGCCCTGCTCCCACGCAGGCGCTCCGGACCCGGCCGTGCGGGGCACCACAACTGTGCCATGCGCATCCTGGTCCAAGTCCGAGCCCGCACCCACTGCCCGGTCCCCGGCACTGCAGCCAGGCGCTCCGGCCCAGGGCCTGCGGGGCGGTGGTGGCCGGTGCAGCGGTTCCATGCAGGCTGAGGAGACAGGTGCACTGGCGCTGGCGGAGGCAGTGGCAGGGCAGTGACGGCATGCTTGGTGTCGGCTGCTGCAGCACGCTGGGCTCTCCCGCTCCCTGTGCCCCGGCCCGGCCCCGGCCCCCGTCACGCCAGCTCCCACTAGGCGGACACCCCGCAGTGCAGGGACAGAGAGGACCCAGTCCGGTGCCCAGAGGGCAGCGCCGCCCTGGGTCCCCCTTCTCTCAGGAACTCCTGTCAGCACGGCCCCGCGGCGCTCGCTCACTTCCTGCGCTCCTTGGGCTTGCGCTCCTGCCGCCGCGCCTGCTGCTCGGCCAGCGCGCGGGGCAGCAGCAGGACGCTGCCGTCGCCCGCATACTGCAGCGCGTAGCGGCTGGGCGAGTAGGGCCGGCCCTGCTCGTCGCGCAGCCGGCCGAACACCTCCTGGTACAGGCTCTGCAGCTTCTGCCGCAGCTGGCGCAGCGCGCGCAGCGCCTCCAGCTTCTCGCGCAGCAGCCGTGCCTTGTCGCGCCGCAGCGCCTCCACGTCGCGCTCCAGGTTGAGGATGGTGTCCAGCTTGCGCCGCCTGCAGTTCTGCGCCGCCATCTTGTTCTTGCCGCGCCGCCGGATGTCGCGCACCAGGCTGAGCTGCGCCTCGCTCAGCGGGTGCTTGGCCAGCAGCTCATTGAACTCCTCCACAGGCAGGTTCACGATCTTGTCGTTGGTAAAGGGGATCTGCATGGCGCGTGCGCGGTGCTCGTCGCGGCTCGGCTGCTTCTCCAACAGCTCAGCCGGCTTCTCCCGCGCGCCCTTTCGGGGCCCGCCGGCCGGGGCCGCATCGCCCGCGTCCAGCGCACCGGGCGCCAGATTGTAGGTGTGGTTATGGCCCACGTGCTCTGGGAAGGGAAGGCGCGGCAGCGGTGCGGCGCCCTGCAGGCTCATGCGGCACCACTTGGAGTACTCCGGCTGGTAGCCCACGGCACCCTCCGTTTCCTCCAGGTCCAGGGCCTCGGAGTCCGAGCTGTAGCCCACGGCGCCCTCCTCGGAGAAGGAGGCCGCGGCGGAGGAGGACGTGGAAGAGGCGGCGGAGGAGGCGGAGGATGAGGAGGCGCCGCCCTCGGAGCCACTCAAGGAGGATGGGCTGTGGCTGGAGTCCAGGGAGAGGCCTGAGTCAGAGTCGAACTCCTCTTCGAGCCTCGAGGCCTGTGCAGGGTGGAAGCCCTCCTCGATGGCCAGGTCCATCAGGCTGATCTCGTCCAGCATGGCCTCGTCCAGTAGGCCCCCCAGGGGGTCGGGCAGCTCGGGGCCGGCCGTGTCGTTGGCTGTGCCGTTGAGCTGGGGCGGGAAGAAGAGCCCGGCCAGGCCAGCAGGGCCGAAGGTGGAGTTGAGGCCACTGGAGTTGCTGGGCGCCAGTGGGAGCAGTGCGGGGCTGCTGCCGGGGGCGGGCAGGCTCTCCACCTCCGGGCTGAACAGCGAGAAGTCCTGGCTGCAGCCCCCCAGGGACGCCTGGTGCAGGCTGACGTTCTGGTTGATGGGTGTGCTCGGGGCCAGGCTATAGTTGGTGCCCAGAGCGTCCCCTGGAGGGGCACCGTACAGGACGTCGCCAGTGGACGTGTTGGCTTCCATGGCCTGGGAGGGAGCAGAGTGGGCGTCAACAGGAGCAGACCCAGGGGCACAGCTGCCAGGGTACAGGGCCCACTCCCTACAGTCCACTCGGCAAAGGCAATCAGAGTTCCAGGGCTCAGACAGGAAACCCTGATGCTCCATGCAGCCATCGCCTGCCCTTTCACTTCCATTTCCTCCTGTCAGAGCCAGAGGCCAACCGGACGCCTGTGAGGCCAAGTGAGACCCCCTCAGCTGTCCTGGCAGACCGGAGGAGGAAGGCAGCCACAGGGGCAGGCCCCAGCTCCCCCACCCCAAGCAGTCCTCACCCTGACAACCCACCTGCATCTCCATGATGGACATAAGATCCTGCCACTGCTGCTCCAAATCGAATGGCGACTCTGTCCCCGTGAGGAGAGGGGACAGCAGGCTGTTCTGGAGGGCAGGGGACTCGTTCTCACTAGGCACTGCTTCTGGGAGGCTGGTGACCTCCGAGAACTAGGGGGGAACACAGGGGTGTCACCAGGCAGGAGGACCACTGGACTTCCTGTCCCCTTTCCTCTGCCCCTTCCCGGCAGCCAGGGCCCAGCAGCTGGCTTGCTGACCTGCCCGGGGCTTGGCCTCCCTGGCACACTCCCCAGAGGGGCAGGCAGCCCCAGGCAGCCTAGGGCTCTCTTCTGGTGACATGGCCATTGAGTCCTCCCCACCGGGCACCTGTGGCAACAGCAACCTTAAGTCTGGCAGGCCTGGACCCTGGCTCCCCCACACAGGCAAACGTGCACCATCTCCCTGCTGTCCCCTCCTGGGAATGACAGAGATAAGGAAGGCAGATGCCAGGCATTCTGCCTCCTCTATTTGCTGGCTCCCGGCAAAACCAGGCACCTCAGGGTCTGCTGCCTGTCCTCCTGCGCATCCCAGCAATGACCGGACCTAGACGGACACAAGCTCCACCCCTCAGCCACAGGGGGAAGTTTCTGGAATCGAACTGCCTGCTGAGTGCTAGCAGTGCAGGAGAGGCCGGCAGCAGGACGGCCTTACCTGTGCAGGGAAGCTCTCCCCAGTCTCTCCGTCCACTAGCAGGTCTCGGGCCAGAGCCTCCGCGCCCGCATCCGCCCAGGTGTCCTCCTGCTCTCCGCTCCCATCTCGCTGCTCCTTATCCGCATCCTGCTCCTTCTGCCGATGGCTGTAGTCAAAAACCTCACGCCCAGCCCCCAGATCAATATCCTGCCGCCAAAGGATGTCAATCAGATCTATGTCCTGAAAGACAGACGGAGACTTTACCTTCCCCTCCTAGGGCCTTCTCTCCCTGTCCTGCCCCTAGGGCCCCGCCTTCTGTCACCTGGCTTGGTCCAGGGTGGGGCCCTTCCTGATTCACACCTGCAGGCCTCACCCCCTGCTCCTCCACACCAGGGGCTTCACTCATTCATACCCAGCCACTACCCGACCCCCAGCACTGAAAGTGCTGTCGGCAGGTCTGGGGATCAGGTCTGGACTAGACACACGTGGGGTCTCCAAGAGACCCCTCTGGTCTGAGGCAAGGGAGACCCCACAACGTGATCTGCCAGCTGTCATGCCAAGTTACCCAGCAGTGGCCAGGCTTGCATCAGACTGTGGTGCCACTGCATTTGCATAAAGGGGTGGGGTGGCCCTGAGAGGAAAATCCCTGCATTTCCAACCACCTGATGCAACCAATGACAACTGAGGGCCACCGGCCTTCCTCCAGCCACCCCTCCCCAGCTACCCGCAGAAGTGAGCCGAGTGCCCACAACTCCTGCCACCAGGGCTCACCTCGAGATCCATCCCTGCCAGGATGCCCATCTCAGCTGAGCTCTGCAAGCTGCCTCGATCCCCGGGGAGCCTCCGGCAGTCAGATGATCCCAGTGGGCACCCCACCCTGTGTGGCCAGCCCCACTGTCCCTCACGCCAGCTCACACTCTTTCCTCGCCACACCCAGGCCTCCGACTCCCCAGCAGGCGACCCACTCAAGGACATCACCCCCAGCACTACACGCAGGGCACCGCCTGCCACCCAAGGCGCTGAAACACCTCCCTCTGCTCTGCAGCTCTTGGGCACTTCCTGCACCGAGTGCCACCCCCACTGCCACCAGTGTGGAACCCCAGTACAGAGCCACAGGCCTCCTGTTGAGCCACTCCCTGCGGCAGTGTCCTTACAAGCCCAAAGAAGCCAGGGCTGCCTTCAGAGCTCCCCAGGCTCAGGCCACTGCCTCCTGGGCCCTGCCCTCCTGCCCGCCCGGACCCCACCCGGGCCTCTGCCCTGCACTCTCCCTCCATGCACCAACCTGCACAGGATCCCTGGGCCCAGGAGCAGAGGGGGGCTGGGCTGCCCGCTGAGTGGCCAGCAAGGAGTTAAGGGGCCGGCTGCTTTTGGCCTGACCCCCACTGCCATGAGAGTGAGCGCTGCCGTCCAGGCGGGTCATGGTCTGGGAGAGGAGCCCCAGGGCGTCCAGGGCCAGGAAGCCGGACAGGGGGCGGCAAGGAGCCGCTGGCTTGGAGGGCACACGCCAGGCTAGAAGGGTGGCCCCTTGCTGGCTCCGAGGGGCCCGAGCCGGGTGCCCCGCCCGTGCTGCTGCCTGGGCGGCTGGCCCAGCCCCCTTCCTCCATCCCGGAGCAGCCCCCTCCCACCTCACAACCCCAGTTCCACTCAGGCGCCCAGCAGCCCCCGCCCGGAGCTCACCGCAGAGGCTGCAGTGAGCCGGGACTCCCACCCCATGCTCTGTCTCACGCTGCAGAGGAAAGCAAGCTCCCTCCTGTTCCTAGCCTCCCTTTCCTCCCTCGTTCCCCCTCCTCATGCCCCCCAAACTTGTTACCTAGGCTGCAGCAAGGAGCCAATCCCCTCCCCCTCCCACCCCGCAGGTCATTGCTGAGCCTGCGGAGAGCCAATCCCCTCCCCCAGGTCAGCAGCTGGGCTGCGCAGAGAGCCAATCCCCTCCCACTGTCGTTACCTAGGCTGCGCAGGCAGCCAATCTCCTCCCCCAAGTCCCCGCTGGAGATGCGGAAGGAGCCAATCCCCTCCCACCGCCTGTTACCTAGCTGCAGACGGGAGCCAATCTCCGCGCCAAGGCAGCTGGAGAAGCTGCCGCAAGGAGCCGGCCCATCCCCGGCCGCCTCCGTCTCGTCTCCGTCTCCTTGAGGAGATGCACCCAGGGGCGGGCGGCCCCACCCAGCCGTCAGTCAGCTGGGTGGTGGCGCAGTGAGCGCCCCTGGGGGAAGGGGCGCCACCCTCCTCCTCCAGTCGCAGCCCGGTTCTCCAGCTGCCCAGACCCGCAGGACACTTCCTAGGCTCTGCCTGGAACCTCGGGCCTCTGCTGGGAAACAGGAGGCAGCCAGCCCTAAGCTCCGGGATCACCAACAGCCGGGCAGGAATCCAAGAGAAAAACCAAAAGCCCCAGGCCCTTTGTGACCCTCAGACAGGCCAGACTACAAGGGGAGTGACATCCTGCACAGGTGCACCTCTGTGCCTGAGAGGGCACAGTCCAAAGCCGGCAGGCACTCAGAAGACAGGTGCGGGGCACCACCCCGGCACAGCCACCAGCTCCTCTCCCTGCTGGGCCCAGAGAGATGCTGGTGGAGTCAGAACACCCAGTCCACACCCTGGACTGCACTGGATCAGACTGGACCGGGGGCAGGGGGTAGCTCCCCTGAGCCAAGGTCGGGTCAGAGACAGCGTGCTCTCAGCCTGAGAAGAGCTGTCAACAGGCCACCCCGTTCTGGGCTCGGCGCCAGTCTCCCGGGGAATCCCACCCCGGCCCACGGCCCAGGCCACAGCTGCCCATCCAACTGTGTGGCCGCAGAGCGTACTCCCACCCCAGGGATAATACGGCCCCACGCTGCTGTCACATGCTCCCAACCTGGGTATTTTTATCCCTGAGTGGCTGAGGAAATGTTCTGGACACATCCTCGCTTCCCTTCCCCCTGCTCAGCCCTCTGCGCAGACCTACTGTTCCCCAAGGCAGTGCTGAAGGCCTGGGCTGGAGAGTGCCACCTTCACCAAGGCCAGAATGGAAGGAAGCAAGGTCAAGGGGCCACCCCGTCCTGCACCCCAGCATCCCGTCCATCCTTGCGCAGCACAGGCCCAGCAGGGCTCCAGGGACAAGCCTGGGCCTGTCCCCTGGCAGAGCATGCTTCTCTGGGATACCATGCCATACCAGAGCCTGCTTGAAGGACAGGAAATAGGAGCAGAGAATGAGGCCCAGCAGTACTGCAAGGGCCTGAGACAAGAAGCCCAGAAGGCAAGAAGTGCTGCTGGCTCCTGCACTCAGTCTCCGAGATGAGCCGGGTCAGCCCAGCACGGCTGAGGCCAGCAAGGCCTGCACTGTGGGGTGTCCTGTTACCTTGTGCTGTTTACCCTCAGCAACATCCCTGGCCCCTCTCTACCCACAGATGCTAGCTAGTACCACTCCCCAGCTGTGACAACACAGTCTCTATAAATACTGCCAGCTGCCCCTGGGGGAGGACCACAGGCCCAGCACAAGCCATGCTGGAGGCCAGCCAGTCTAACACTCTGAAAGCTGAGGGCAGAAGCAGGCCCTATGCAGGAAGGTCACACGGGGCCTCCCAGCTCCTCCAGCCGGGCACACTCAGCCTGATCCTCCCTGGGGCTCTTGGGGCTGGGAGGCGTCACAACAGTTCTCCTCTTGGCAAGGCAGGGGCAGCAGGAGCTGCCTGTATCAGCCACATCATTGGGGCAGGGAAACGCACCCCTTTCTGCCTCAGCAGGGGTGCTGGCCACAGGATAGGGCCCAAGGGCACCTATAGCTCCAGGCTCATCTCTATCCTCCAGCCTCCTCTGCCCGACGCCCTACTGGGCGCCTTCAGCAGGAATGGAAGCCCTGGTCTCTTCCAGCCAAGAATCACCAGGCCTGCGCCTGGCTCAGGGCCAGGACAGCTGAACTCTCTGGGTCTCACAACAACAGCCCTGACCACAAAGAACTTCAGGGTGCACACACGTGTTCCAGTGTGGGGGTAGGTGCAAGGCAAGAGACGGTATCTGTGTCCTAGCAACAGATACACATGGCACCAGAGCCCTCACATGACCCACCCCCACCCAGTCCTGCTGAAACCCAAGCAGCCAACACCACCGGGCCTAGCGCCTCCCACCACCAACAGCACCTTCGGAGGGGGCCCGGCTCTGCACCCACTCAGACAAGGCAGCCTTCCAGCCCGGCAGCCTGAGGCATTGCCCCCAACTTCTAAGGCTTAGTTAGTGCTGCCATTATCACCTTGCCAGCCCCCTCCTCCTGGCCCCAAGGCCCCCCTGCCCGCCCTCCTTGGGGCCACTCACCTCTTTGGTTAAGTCGCCACTGACTGGTGGGGCTACTGCCCCCAAGTCCTCTAGATCGCCACTGAATCCCTGTTCCGTGTCACTCTCTCGCACCCCGCTGTCTGGGCCGGCCACATCCTGGAGGCTGCTGGAACTCTCAAGGGCCAGGCCAGAGCTGGGCTGGCTGCCGGAGACAGACCCCTCGGGGTCACGGTGGACCAGCCAGGCATTCACCTCAGTGGTGGGCACCTGGAACCTGTCCAGGGCCCTGACCTGGCTGAGGAGCCGTCGGGCAGTGAAGTAATTGTCCAGGTCTATGCTCTTTGGGTGGATCCCGTAGCCATCCAAGGTATTCCGCAGGTTGTGGAACTGTGTCTGCGTGTAGGCAGAGCTGGGCCCCAGGATGATCTCCCGCAGCGGGGGGAGCTGGGAGGTCAGGTAGGTATCCACGTCCACCCGCACCCCGATGAGACTCAGCAGAATGGTGAACTGCAGCAGTCCTTCCGTTAAGTATTTCTTCAAAGAAAGCATTGCTGAAGAACCAGAATGTTTATGCTTTTTGGGTTTTAAATCTTCCAAAAGACCAATCGTGGCCACTGTTCTGCTGCTCCAGCCAGCGGGTGACCCTTCTCAGCACCAACCCTGCACCCCACCCTGGCACAACGTGGGGGCTGAGTGCCCCGATGGCCCCAGAGGAACGCTCGACTCACAGAACCAAGGACACACACTCTAGGCCACATTCACTCCTGCCTTGCGGCCACCTGCCTCAGAGTGCGCACCTCACCCCGTCCAGGCTCTCCGGCCCTGGCAACTTACTCTCTTCTCAGTCCACATGCAGCCGCCTCCCTCGAGGCGCTGCTGTCCCCTCTACAGGCTCAGCAACAGCTGAGACTTCTTTTCCTCCACCCTCTAGGTTTATTTTCTTTGGCTGCAGCTCCAGGTCTTTGTCTTGGGTCGCAGCTTCCCGCCTCCTCCACCCTGACCAGGGGGGTTTCCAGTGGAACCTGAAAGGTGGCACAAGATCAGGCATATGAGACCCTCACTCTCCACGGGGATCAGACTGGGAGGACCCCAGGAAAGGAGAGGGGATACCAAGCATTCACCACTCAGAACAAAACCCAACCCTTTACAGGCAGAACAAAAGGTCCTGATGAGGAGGACCTCTGGATATTCAATCAATCTGCAAGACCCTTAAAAGCAGCTTGCTCTGGATAAGCAACCAATGCCCAGGTCTCTTGCACTTTGGTGCGATTTGCAAGCTCTTCTCCTGCTATGTGGGCACTTCATCCAGCTCCTATTTTTAGTGTGAGAAGCCCATTTCCCATCTTAAAGCTGGTTTCCAACTACAGGCAGAAAACCACCTCCAATCACTGGTCCCAGTTCAGAAAGGGAGGGAGATTATTCATGGGTGAAAGTGACAGCGAACTCGAGGACAATATCCAGGACAGAGTTCAGGTCACCGCTCCACGCAAAGCAATAAGAATGCCTTTTGTGTTCCCAACTTTCAAATCTGATCTTCTTTTTCCCACCACCCCCACACTTTAAAAAAACGAGGCAGGAAAAGTAAAGAATAGGGAAACAATAAAGAAACTGAACAACACCACCAACAAAAGAGACAGGGCGGGCCGGGCGCTCCCCCCGGGCTGCCCCTCAGGAGCAGTTTGCAAAGCAGGTTTTATCTCCGCTCCTGTGACCTTCTGAGTCAAAGCAGAGGATACGGCCAAGTTCCCAACCCGGCTGCCAAGTGAGGCGAGGGGGAAATCTGCCTCTCAGCTTCTGGTCTCTATCTCGATGCTTTTATTAACGCTATACACGAAGCGTCGCTACCTTTTCCCCACTGTGACCTGTCTAGCCAACTTCATTCTGGAAGGGGAGCAGGACCTTAAGGAGACGCGCGCTCACATACACACAGGCGTGCGCGCGCACCCCATCGCGCCGGAGTAAACACAACTGGAACCCTCAATCCCAGCCGGCCCGGCCTCCAGTTCTCACGCAACACACTCCTAAAACCTCCCAAGAGCCAATTAAATTCAAGAAACCGGACAAAGTTCCTCCAAGTCCGCGCCTGAGGCCGCCACCACCACCACCACCACCCTCCGCGCCCGGGTACCCGAGTCCGGAGGGGCCCGGGTCGCCATGCCCACGAATGGCAGCTTCGCGTCCAGCTGCAGGGCGGCCGCGGGCGAGGCGGTGCAAGCGGGCCCCGACCCGAGCCGCGGCCCGCAGCCAACGAGCGCGCGCTCACCCCGCCCTCCGCCCCGGCCGCACCCCGCCCCCGGCCGGGCCGCGACCACGCCTTCCCGCGCCCGCAGCCCTCCCGGCCGGCCCACCCGGGCAGGCTCCGCGAGGGCCCCACGGCTCTGCCCCGCCGGCCCGAGGCTCCCGACCCGCCCGCAGCCTCGCTTGGCCGCCGCCCGCCCGCCGCCCACCGCCCGCCCCTGGCTCCTGGGCCGCAACCCGCCACCCCCACCGCGTGAGCCTCGGCTCCACCGCGCCGCACCCCTCCGGGAAACCAACGTGCCCGATACCCACTGCAGAGTTCGGCGTCCACCGCTGCCGCCACGGCAGGCCTTCGGCCCAAGTCCCGGCCTCGCCGCCGCCACAGCCGGCCAGCCCAGAGCTCCAGCCTCTGCTTCCCTCCCCGCCCCCTCCTTCCCTGCACTCGGAAGCCCGACCTCTGTGGCCGCCCCCAAAGCAGCCTCTCCAATCACTGAGCCCAGACCGCGGCCGTCGCCGGATGTCGTTCTGATTGACAAAAGAGAGAGTTCAATAGCTGAGCGAGCTTCCTCTGTATCCACCAAGATTGACATGGTTACGGTCCAATGAGCACCTACGCCCGCCCCGCGGCGTGGGCCCACCAATGGGTGAGGCCCAGGCCTTGGGTCCTGTCTTAGGAGGCCTGGGCTGCGTTCTCACCAGGTGGTGTTACAGGTGCAGTTAGTTCTGCGACTGCTGGCGGGGCCGAGAGGCTTTGGGCACAAGGTGCGGTGACAGGCGTTGGAGTGTGGAATGCCCCCTTTGAAGGAACCCACTGTGACTTGCAAAAGTCCAGCGAAATGCACAGTGGGCCCAGACGGGGCGCGGAGCATGTGATTCTCATGGTGGCGACGATCGTCCTGCCATCTTAGGTGCTGGTGACGGAAACCCAGACCTGGCTTCCTCTCCGTGCGAAGCTGGAGCAGCCACCTGGGCAGGGACGACACTCACCTCTCCTACCCCACCACCACCCATCCACCCCCACTTCGTGGCCCAGGCAAAGGTCACTTCCAGGGAACACTTGCGCTGTTGCCCAGTCCGTGGGTTTTTGTGTTTTCTATCAGAAAGTGGCACAGAGACAAGGTTTTATTTATCTGCGTTTGATTTACTTTTTTAACACAAGGACTCACTATTGTAGTTCAGACTGATCTTGAACTCGCTATAGCCCAGGCTGGTCTCCAACTCCGGGTAATCCTCCTGCTTCAGCCTCCCAAGTGCTGGGACACTATACTCAGTAACCTTTTATTTTATTTTATTTTGGTTTGGTGTTTTCTGAGGGTCTTGCTATGTAGTTCAGGCTGGCCTCGAACTCACTATGATCCTCCTGCCTCAGCCTCCCGAGTGCTGAGTCCTTTTTATTCTTGTGTAGGGGGAGACTAAAATCCCACCCTGACCCAAACAAAGGACAAAAGTCTACAGCTTTTGTGGCATCTGCAGGATATCCGGGGCCACACCTGTAGAGGTGTCCTGTAGTTACACTGGGGCTCTTCCATACCAGGCCCCTATACCAGGTACCATTTTAGATCTCCTCCTCGGAGTGTGAGTTTTACTATGCTAGGAAATTAAAGTGCAGGCTACTTTAGTGACCGTTCTTCTCATGGATTTGACCCTTACAACCTGGAATTTGTCCTTTATTCTAACTGGGTTTTGGAGCAGATCATTCCCTTGGCTCAAGTGGGTAGGACATTGTGATTTCCTTGTTTGCTTTGGTTTAGTTGTTTTTGTTTTGTTTTGTTCAGATAGAGGCTCACTTTGTACACCAAGCTGGTCTTGAACGCACTATGTGGCCCAGGCTGGCCTCAAAAGCAGAGATCCTCCTGCTTCAGCCTGTGGAACGCTGGGATTACAGGCATGCTCTACTATGCCCACCATGATTTTTATTTATTTATTGCGGGGGCCTGGCTTCCAGGAATCCCAACTAACCACTTGGGTGGTCTTCAAAAGCTGGGATAGGTGGCCTTGAAGATGGCCCCACTTTAGCTCCTCAATTTCCAGTATGTCTGTTAACTAAAGCTGCAGGCCAACCTCACTGTCTTATAGCCATGCTGGGGTGTCTGGGGCAAGACAGGGCATACTAGCAATTTTTGTCATCATAGGAACAGCAGCAAAGAGCCCACGCACACACACACACACACACACTTCCCTAATCTGCCCCACAGAACTTAGTCTTGCTTTTTAGGAACTTTCTGTACGTGTCAGAGTTATCCAGGCCCATCTGGCCATATTACCTGAGATACATGTGCACCCCAGCATCGCTGGGGGAGCTTGTTAGACTTGCAGATTCTAAGGGTGTCACTAAGTGGCCCAGGTTGGGCTCAAGCTTGGGATCCTCCTGCCTCAGCCTCTCCTAAATGCTGGATCACAGGAATGGGCCACCAGCACACCCACTTCTGGAGAGTGAGATTGCAAAGCAGCAGGACTGCAGTTTGATAATGCACCAGTTTGACTGCTTCTAGGGCAGCCAGTCCTAATGTAAATCACCAACTTGGAGTTTGTACTGTGGCTTGCAGCCATGGGCTAAAGAGGTGCCAACTCAGATTCCTGTCGCCTCAGAAAGCCAATAATCTCACAAGCAACTCATCTTCCTTGTGCAATTAAGGACCAGGCCAAATGACAACTCCCTAGATAATCAAGTCTGTGCCTGCCAGGCTGGTGACACTGGTCTTCCAGCAGTAGAGAGGCTGAGGCAAGAGGATCACAAGTCGGCGCCAGCCTGGGCAACTTAGACACTGTCTCAACACATAAAAAAGGGAGCCAGGTGTGGTGGCACACACCTGTCATCCCAGCACTCAAGAGGCTGAGGCAGGAGGATCGTTACAAGTTTGAGACCAACCTGAGCAGCTCAAGGCCGGCCTGCACTGCATAGCAAGACCCCGTGTCAAAAAAAGACAAAACAAAAAGCGGGGGGAGGGGGGGGCTGTAGATGTAACTCAGTGGTTGGAGGGCTTATCTAGCATGCCAGAGGCTGTTCTATGCCCAGTACCAGAAAAGCGCGGGGGGGGGGGGTACATTTTGCTATCTCCTGATCAAAACTAGAATTTTATGCATTAACTTGTCTGTGGAATTTTTTTCCCCATAGGGCCTCTATGTAGCCCAGGCTGGTCTCAAGCTCCTGTCAATCCTCCTGCCTCAGCTTCTCAAGTGCTGGGCTGACAGGTATGCCCCACCACACCCAGTGCCCATGGAATTTAGGTGACATTAATAAGTCATTGAAGGGCACTGTGTGTGTGGCTAAGAGAGTGCTTCCCTCCTGTGCAAGAAGCCTGAGGTTTCACTTTCAACACACAGGTACACTAATAATAATAATAGTAATTGAAGGAGGAACCAAGTGCCCAGAGGCCAAGGCATAAGGACCATGGGTTCAGGGTCAGCTGGGGTTACATAGCCACCCCTGTCTCCAAAAAAAAAAAAAAAAAAAGAAAAGAAAAGAAAATCCTGGTAAAGCTGAACAAGGGGGCTGGGGATTTAGCTGACCGGTGCAGCCCCAATGAAACAGGAGACAGGAGACGCTCTTGTGGACGACAGTTAACTGCTGCTTTATTCACGCGGGCTCTGGTTTATATATTTGGCCGTAACCAATCACAGGCTGCCACGAGGAAGCAGGGCGGGAATGGGACGCAGGCTCTGGCTACTATATCCAGCTGTGGCCAATCAGGAGTTGCCACAGAGTACGGAGTGAGCACGAAGTGCACACGGGTTGGCTAATTTAAAGAGGGACGTAGCACATTGCGGAAGCTGGCGTGGTCTTTAGTCCCGGGTGGGGTATGGTATGTTGAGCACCTGCGCCCAACATTTAGCTCAGCGGTGTAAGCACCTGCCTTGCAAGCAGGCGGTCGTGAGTTCGATCCCCGGTACCGATAAAAATGAAAAAGACAAAAAAAAAAAAGCAAAAAGCTGAACGAATAGAAAGGCCAGGAGTGTCCCTCACTGCTAGAGTGCGCTGCCCAGGCTGTGGGGGCCTAACCCAGGCCCAGTACAGGAAAAAAGGGTCCCAGGCAGAAATTAAGCATACCTTGCTGGGCATTATGGGTGCTCACCGCAATCCCAGCACTGGGGAGGCTGAGACAGGAGGACCCTGAGAGTTCCAGGCCAGTCTGGACTACATAGTGAGACCCTGTCTCAAAAAAAAAAAAGGAAAAATTAAGCACTCCTTGGAAGGGATGTGGTTTTGGAGAACATGGCAAATTACCAAGGAAATAAAATATTCAGGCACTACATGAGTGTGGCCATGAAGGTACTAAAGGTACTACTTAAGAAAGGACAAAAAGCCAGGCAGGGGACTGACTGAGGCAACTGAGGATGGCTTCAGCCTAGGACTTAGAGACCAGCCTGGGCAGCATTTTTTTTCAAGCAGACCTTCATTATGTATCTCAGGCTGCTCTAGAACTCACAGGTGATCCTCCTGCCTCAGCCTCCCAAGTGCTTGGATTATAGGCATACACCATCATGCCTGGCTCCAAATCAAATATTTAAAAAAAAAAAAAAACCTTAATGGGGCAGCCAGGTATAGGGGTGCATCTGTAATCCCAGCACTCAGGAGGCTGAGGCAGGAGAATCCCATGAGCTTGACCCCAGCCTAGGCTACTCAGTTGAGTTTAAGGCCAGCCTGAACTATGTATTGAGACCTTTTCTCAAAAAAATGAGAGAGAGAGACAGAGAGACACGAGAGAGGGAGACTGGAGCCTTGGTCTGGTGGCTGGGACAAGAGGATCACAAATTTGAGCCCAGCCCTGACAACTTTAGTGACTTAGCAAGAGCTCATCTCAACAAAAAAGATAGGGACGTAGCACAGTTTGAAGTCCCTGGGTTCAGTTCCCCGTATGTACTTGGGGCACTCGGGAGGTGCTGGCTGTGTAGCCCAGTGGTAAAGCACTTCCCCAGCACGTGCAGGGCCCTTGCTTCAATCCCCTCCACCCAGCAAGAAAAAGGAAGAGAAGGGGAAGGAAGGAAAGGAAACAGAAAGGAAGAGGGCGGGGAAATGTAGAAGCCAGCATTTCTCTACAAGAGTAGGATAGGTGGGAGGAAATCTATTTAAAAATTCCAAAACTCAAGGATATCAAGGGCCAACTCAAGTTGCAGATTCAAAGACGAGACTATTTTGAAAACCAGAAGGAGGTGATAAAAGACAGATTCTTTGGAGCAGGCAGCTGCAAGTGAGACCTCAGAGCATTTGTGTCAAAACCTTGATTTCAGTCCCAGCACAGCTGACCACAGGACTGCTGCCTCTGCTTGCTCTGGGGCGAACTCTCCAGGTGGTAACTGCTTCTCCCTGTGGACACCACCCCATTCCCACAGCTCTTCCTGCTTCCTCTCTCTCTCTCTCTCTCTCTCTCTCTCTCTACCCACTCCTTTTTTTTTTCCTCTTGAGACAGGGTCTCACTATGTAGTACAGGCTGCCCTTGAACTCACTATGTAGCCCAAACTGGCCTTGAA